AACACTTTGTCGAGTTTAACTACAATTCGTCAAGCCACACTGGTACTCCATGGCCTTCAAGGACCTTGGAGGTTGTGGAGATGTGTTTGAGGTGCAGCAGAGATGCAGCATTTACTGCAACTCTGATTCATGACGGCAGGGTACAAACTCAACTACCTCTTACAAACAATCTACCCAGCTCAACAAGCCAACTCAAATCATACAACTCATGCCTTGCTACATAGCATAGTGATCAAGACCCAATATTAGTCGCTCAAGTGGTAGGTACAGACTCGATACCATGTCAAACAGGCTGACCTGTCTATACCCTAGGCTCCAAGCACCCTTGGCCACTGGATTTTGCATGGATACGGGGCCCTCGAGCCTGCGAATACACCTTGGTTGGATTCTCAAGCATCAATCCGCTCACTCGAGTCGCCCAAGAGTGGCAAGCAAGCTCGACAACTCGATATTATCAAACGGTTGGATGGTTCGATGTGCTCCAACTGTCCAACTGCGTAAAGACGGGATCTCGAGCCCACAGAAAACGCCGAGTCGGACTATTGGAGGATCAGTCTGCAGACATTGAAGCTCCCATCAAGAAAAGTCACAAGAACTGGCCTCGCTCTACACAATTATTACTTTCGATCGCCACCAGCACAGAGCTCTTGGTACGTCCTGATTTCACGATGCGCGTCCACTGAGCAATCAAACCATGTCTGTAGGGTCCGCTTGCTTTGAAATTTGTATCAAGGGCAGCCAGAAACAGTTGGACTGGAACGACAGAGTGATGGGCACCGGTATATTGAGAAAACAACTGAAGCGTGCTGTTGGAACCACCTGTGCGGCGATCCAATGGTCCTTATATAGGAATCCCCACGTGGAACCCCCACGCAGTCCTGCAGCGCTCTGACATGAAGTCACTTGATATTATTGCAGGAATCGCATAGCGGCTGCTCACGTTCAACTTGATCCATGATAGCAAACTGCTGCTTTTGGGCTTCAAGTTGGTCCCTTGACGAGCCTCTGTTGCATCGTGTAAATCCGCCTTTGATGCTTCCAAGTCCACCTTTTCAGAGACAAGATACTTAAGTAATATTCCTAGCAAGAGACATGACGAGAAAAGGCCGCCAGTTTGCCACTACTGAACAATCACAAGATGACTCTGGGCTTGGCTTTAGCTCGAAGATGAACAGACAATGTCTATTGGAGGCAGATTTTGACAATCTAAACAGATCGCCGTAGATGAGGGTGAGGTGATGGAACCCAACGAGAACCTGGGACGAAATGAGACAGGATAAAGATTACAAGTAAAAGTCAAGGTCTTGAAAGACACTACCAGCTGGAAAATGCCAGGACAGTCACGTCTACTTGTCTAAACTGTCTTTGAAGCAGCCAGTTGATTCGCAATTCAACTACTGGCCTCACCAGAGCAATACCCGGCTCGGACGTTGGAGGCTTGGATAGCTAGACTTGAGTAGAACCCTCCGCACAAGTCTTTCCAACTCCTTCCCATTTCACTGTTTGTTCCTCCTCCCTAGTCTGATTCCCCTCCTGAGCTCGCGCGATCAGATCATATGAGGACTCCCAGCAGCTCTCGTGAATTCCTTTCGACTCCACACCAAGATCAATCCTCTCAGGCGTCCTCTATTCATCGGCCAACCACTCCAGAACTGCCCAGAGACCCATGTGTCCCGATCCAAGCTCCCATCATCAGGAACTGGCCTACACCAAGCCAGTCACATCAAATGGTCATGTCCATTGCGGGCCTTGAATCTTACAACCTCGGCGCTCTGAAATAGTGGCGTTGGTATCCTTGCAGGCTCTTGGGATCAAAGTTTCACAATTGTGGAATTGGTCGTCCTTTTCACTGAATTCAAAGCCATCTTGACGCACTCAACAGTGAAAAGCCCTTGTTGCGGCTCATAAAGACACTAATATGAAGATTGCGTATCAAATCTGGGCTCCAGCAACTTTCCTGATCAGTATTACTTTGAAATCCATAGATTCAAAACGTGATTTCGCAAAAAGGCATCTACAAAGAGCGCGTGACCTCGTACTGAACTAAAAGAGTCCTTGTATGGTTCAAGAGGTCAGCAGTCCCGAGGGTGCTGTCCGGCTCAACCTCTGGGAGCAGCCTCATATTTTCCCATCATCTCCCTTGCAAATGGCACCGGATCATGCCGGATGTCATGTTGGCAGTGTCACGTCTGTAGATGTTTTGCTGATACGTACGTGCTGCAGAAACCCCTCTCCTCCCAGGATGACAGATGGCATGTCCAAACTGCACGAGCCAGAGTCAGCTCAGATGAATCACTTGCAATCGCAACGTCGGTTCTCAAACCTGCAATGAGTAACCTCAGCACAAGCAACGGTTGCTGGGAACATGTGCATATGACAGCCCTCGTCTTCCCACTCTACTGCTGGCAGGAAGCTTCGGTACTGCTACGCAAGGGAAAAAGGCCGCTCACGTCACCGGCCATGCGGTGAATGCTTGAAAGAGAAGCGAGAGCATTAGTGAACAGTGGCATCACGGGATAAGATTCAGTGAATCGCAAGAGACATTTGACTGGTGCACTTGCAGTGCTGGACTTTTGCTGAATTTAGAAAACGGAAACAAACATGGCCACGAGAAGCTGCTGATGAACTTCGGGTGCCATTACGCCGGCAGCCCATGTCGCCCAGTGAATATCATGACGGCGAGGAACATTCTCATGGTAGCGAGCACTCGGCTTGACAGATGTAATTCTCTCGGCATTGCGATAGTGATGCCAAGCAAGACCATGAAGGTATCAGCAACTGGTCTGGCAATGACAGGAGAAGCCCACCTTTTGTCCCTCTGCTATTAAGGACTGGTCCTCTATCGAGCATATGGCAGACCTGACTCTGTCAATGAGGGATGAAACAATGATTGTAAATAACGGGTTGCTGACCCGGCGTAGTCAGTACCCCTGCAGATCACTTGCTTGAGTATTGTTTGCTATTTATCACCTTTTTACTGAAGATACGATAGATTAAATCAGACCTCTTCTGTCCTTTGATCATCCTCTATACTGGCCGAGGTCAGACGGTCTCCAGACAGTTGTCAAGAATCTCGACCTGCAATGTCAAGTTCAAGTCTAGCAATGGCCACCTGATTCCAAGATGAAAGATTCAATGTCACATCCGCAGGTGAGGCTTTGGATAATCAGACACCAACAGACGTGGCATCTCTGGACTGACGCGAATGTAACACGGGAGTATTCCAGTTTGCCACGAGGTTCCCGCGGCCGCCCCCGTTCCAATCAAGTAGTACATTTCGTCTGAGTCTACATGGCATCCAGAAAGTACACTGATAGTGGACTGCATCGCCAAACATTCGACGATGATGAATCAGAGACCCTGCCAGCGCAGAACTTGTGCTGACGTGATGGGTAAGGCCATTTCGCCTGTCGCATAGAGACCGCATGTAAAGATGGATACCACAGGTAGCACAACACGCATCAAGTCAATCAAAGCTCTGGCGCATGCTGTCATGGTTGGGAATACCAGTCTTAACGTCTTTTGCAATCTGTGAGTACAGGATTCCGACTGGCGGCTGGTAATCTGCATGTCCGTCAACATATGCTGAGTTGGTGGTCCGAGTATCCGTGCTGGGCAGTGCGCAAAGTCTCGATGTGACAGTCTGAACTGCTCCAATGTATCATTATTGCACTAGATTTCTCCTCTGTTCATGCACGCGAGGCTTGGCTGGCATCCAAGGGCATGCATCGTGAGATCTTGTCATGCTGGAGGTGTGCATCGTTCGACTCTTGCGACAGCGTGTAGTGATGCATGGCACATTTGAGCTCAAAACACCTCAATCAACGAGGCTGCACTGGCAGAGACCCTTGATGGAGGATGCGTTGGCCTGGAGATGGAAATCCGCTGTAAAAATGACTTTTTTCTTTACCTATATTCTTTAGTACATGATTTTGTATGGGAATCCCCCTCGTCAGTACATGCGTACTCTTGGGTCGGGATCCCCATACAAAATCACGTACTCTTCCTTTAGTACAAGATTTTGTATGGGATCCCGACTCAAGAGTACATACCCTAATGTACGTACTAAAGACCTGGCACCTCCATACAAAATCACGTACTCTTCCTTAAGTACAAGATTTTGTATAGGGATTCCTACTCTTTAGTACACACGTACTGTTGAGTCAGCAGTCCCATACAAAATCACGTACTGACGCCTTGGTATATGGATTTTGTATGGATTTCCACGGCATTTGCAAGTCATCAAGCAGTTCAAAGTGCCAGCAGTATATCTGGCTCACCGACGATGCCTTGCGGCCCACTGCTTGTTTGTATGTGCCAAATGTCGCCACCCTCGTCGTCGCATGACCCAGAGTCTTACCATGACAACGATATGCGCAACTTTTTGGATGGTCTGCTGCCATATTCTCAATTCTGTGTTTGCAATTCTACCGGGGTGATGCGACTGCTAAATCTACATTACAAAGCATCAGGCTCCGTATCGTGTCCCCGTGCAGTGCTGCTCTATCCACCTGTCTGCATGTAAAACTATTAATAGATGCACACGAGTTATTGACTCAATCTATCTAGACATCAGGCTTCAACGGTATAGTACAGAGATGAAAATTCAATGGACCATGCAAGCACGCGGAAAGCCTGTTCAAGTATGTCTGCCTCTCGGATTGAGTTGCATGCATTGGCGAGCACATCTGCCTCCCAACGCACTTGTAGATTCAGTCCATTCGTCGACCTCATCAATCCTCTCCAGCTGGAGTTGGATGGATGTATCATGGTTGTCAAAGTGGCCGAAACGATCGGCCAACGCCTCTTGCATTGCCACTCGCAAGTCTGTGGGTTGGTCGGTAGGGATTGACGGCATCTGTCTGGCCGGTAGATCCAATGGCCGCATGGTGCATGGACACTGCCATAGGGTGGGCCAAGGACGGCGCATCCCGCCGTACCAGATCAACAGATGGTCGAGACCCCTGTTCAGCAGGGCATTGGACGTATCCGATCACTGTTTATGGAGGAGATGGACGTTGACCATGAGAGTCATCAGGGTCGTCATCATCACCACGCTTGTCGTCCTGGTAGCAATTGTCACACACCTACCAGACAAGTATTGCACGAGTCTTGAAAGAGATCCTCCAATAGCTCCGAGACCTTTCCGGAAGTTCCCAGCTCGTCTACTTGATTCCCAAGGGCATCTGCCACCTTGTTCTTCTTTCCAGGAATGTACTCGATGGCCATGTTTGGAATTCAGCTCTCCAGTCCACCTGGCATGGATTCCCTTTACGTTTTCGCTTGACAGAAACTTTGTGAGATCAGTGTAGATGACTGAGGGCTCTTGAGAAAGGAAATAGGTGACATGCCTTGTCAGAATCCCACGATTGCAAATCCCACGATTGCACTAGCGTGGATGTATTATGACCTTGCATTCTGGAATACCTGGCCACAAGCCAGGCCGGGTGCGACCTTGAGGAAGCAGCTGCAAATCGTGAGCCCCGGTTCGACAAGAGACTGAACCTGAACTGGTCTCTACATACATATGCGAGGTGGTCCTGGCCACCATAACGGGCGGATTCGGTGCCTGGGCGATGATGGCTGCGGGCGAAGGGCACCAGTCATTGGGTGCGTTGGCAGGAGCTGGAACTTCAAGAAAGGCAACTCGAACTACAGAGAAGACAAGTCGAGGAGATGGAGAGGCAGGTTCAATTGCAGAACAGGCAGCAAATGATCGTGGAGGTCTGTGGGAGTTCCTTGACATGAACGACGGTTCCGCATGCGGCGCAGGAATGCTTCCCAGAAGCACTTTCATCAGCTCTGCAAAAGTATGCACCAGCTTCAAACTGAGTCGCCCCTTGAATTACTCATTTCGTTGCTGGTACTGGGGATGCTTCAACCGTTTCCTCGTGTTGCAAGACCACCATCATTGTGTCCTGACTCTGCTGCGCCCTGGCCACGTCCACTGCCGTATCAGACCTGTTGATCAAGCCTTGGACCCGTGTGAGATTCAAGAGACTCTGCTGCAATTTGTTTCACAGCATTTGAGGTGACCGAGCAACGACAACTGCCAATGGTCCGAGGTAACAAGTCTGGACGTAGCAACTTGCCATTTGTCCTATGCTAGTGTCAATGGTACTGGAAGGGCGATTTCCCAACAGGCCAATGAAATCATTGGAACTCGCAAACGTATACTCCTGGCTTGGTAGGACCGTCCAGGTGGTCTGCCTAGATTGTACGACTCGAGCGAGTTGCGTCGCTCATTATACGATTCAAGGAACAGACATAAGATCTGGAACATGTGAAATATGGTATTGCCACGGTAGAGCGTTGCTGTCCGCGTAGAAGATCTATCGAGCCCACGAATGCTCGGCATAGAGCAATGCATGGTTCCTGGAAATCATCATCCAAGGCAGCCGGCCTCTCAGCGATTACTGCACCATATCAATCGCACGAGTAAAGCCATGGCTACGTATCGTGACGTAGAATCTCCCTTTCTCACGGAATTGATCCCCGTGGCCATGGCCAACGACGAGCTACGTCCACGTATCGAGTAGCTTGGCGTAGGATCCGTGGCAAGAGATGGCTGAATGATTTCAGAATGTGTACCAATAGTTTGACTACCTTGGTTGGCGAGAATTGCCTCATTCAGCGCCAGAACCAACACGGGGCATACTGCCATAAGGCTGGTGACAAGTCCTGCTACCTGATATCACGGATGAGTGTGCCCAGGAGCGAAGATCAAGTCAGTGTTGATCTACGAGGGTATGGTAAGTGAAATGATTGATTAGCTGGTTGAGTGTCTGTACGTATAGATGGGAGTAGAGAAGGTATATATGTAGTCTATAGTGGAGCATGAAGCCCGAAATGAAGGAGGATGGGCTCCCATTTCAACAGTCAGATACAATTAGGCTTATTGCAAGCAGTTTGGAGCGATCGTTTGGGTTCGAAACTGAAGCCATTCACGGCAAAGTGATACATTTCGAGTGTCATGTGGCTGAAGTCTGGGCTCGCCTGGGCCAAAGTGTAAAGGAAAAGACGTGATTTAAGAAGCATCGAAAGATCTCAAGTTGATCTATAAAGGAGTTGCTTGAGAGCTATCTAATATACCTGACAAGTTAATTTGTGGAGCATACATCAGTGTACTAGTTGCAATAAGGATGCATTCAACTCTGTCAGTATGTTGCAAGCTTGTCGACGAGCAAGGCAAGACTGTGAATAGCCTGGACGGTTATTGCTATGAACAGAGACGTGGATGTCTTTCCAGTCAGTCTGTGACGGCCAAGAGCATGTTTAGAATCCTGGACAGCATAGAGAGTCCAAGCTTGGAAGCAATTCTATCCTGTCAGGGTCTCACTGCATCAAGATTGCGTGTCAACTCCCGTCCGGCGGTACCATGTTGTTGAATTCACCACTGCCAGGAATGATTATGTCTTGCGACGACAGCACTGCGTCTCTTGAGCGAAGCTCGATGAATGCTCTTGGATGTCTGGCTGCTGGGCTGAATTCGCCGCGGGTGTAGAACTCGGACCGAACCTGTTATGCCTCACGACGGGCTGGTTAGCAGAATGCTTGCATTCCGGGTGGGAATTTGGGATGTTGGAGAATATGAACGTGCCCATTGAACACTTGGTTATCGTGAAGGCAAAGGGTTACTCGTCTGGAAGCTTTGCAAGGACATTGGCATCACCATGTTCAGTCTCATGCAGTAATAGGCAATGGTAAACCATCACCGTACCCAGAATGGGGTGGTACCATGGCCAGCGTCCAAAGGTTGGTGGACAGCATGGTTGTTGATGAGGAGCCACCGTGGGATCGTTTGTCGGGAATCAGGGGCCAGCAGGTTGAATGTTGGCAACACGGCAGTACGGCCAAGAGCGTTCCATGTGAAGAGCAGTTTGCATCAATCGAATGAAGGGAGTCGGCCCCCACCTGGTTTCAATCTACTGGCAGCTTGGGTGCAGAGCAAAGACCCTCCAGGCTTGGTTTCAAATTTAGAGGTCCAGCTCGAACAAACAACATTTCCACAGTTCACGTTTACCACTACAATCTCAATCCGCGCCATCACCACTACAATTTCAATCCGCGCCATCATCATTACAAGTTCAATCCGCGACCCATCATCATCATCATCATCATCTCGCGCCGCCATTCACATAAAATGGCTGATATTCCGACCGACACCCCGACCGCCGCCGAGCTCAGCACGGCTAGCAAGCTTGACATGTCGCTTGAAGACATAATCAAGCAAAACAAGAAGCCCGCCAAGAAGCGCAAGTTCCGCGAGCGCGCAGAGAAGGAGAAGGAGCAGAAGGGCAAAGAGAGAGAGGAAGAGGAGGAGGAGGAAGCTGATGAGGAGCTTGGCTTGGCTCATAGATCCAAGATCAGCAAGCTGGACATGTCTCTGGACGACATCATTGCCCAGAATTCGAGCACTCAGCAAGCCGAGGAGGACTCTGGCTTGGCCGGCAGCCCCCCCGAGGTTGCACGACAGCCTCTGGTACCAATCGTGCCATGGAAAAGTTTGAGAAGAATTCGTGGTCCAGCCCTTCTTCGTAGCATTGACCCCACCATGACAAACTACGAGAGCACTTCTGGCAGAGTTACGGTGGCCAAAGTTGACTCTCAAGAGGCATTCAGCGAGTTTCGCGACAGATATCTCGCGCGGATCCATGACGCACTCGAGAACGGAGACGTGGAGGTGGAGTTTCGCTTCTGGAAGGTTCCTAATGCCCCCAACGTCGAGCCGCGCAACGAATAGGCTGCACAAGGCATTCGGCCTGTTTGCCATGAATATGGCAGTAGTGTTCCCGTCTCGGCTAAGCCCAAGTCGTCTGGCGACAAGGCAGAGAGGACACTTGTGAGGATCTCGGCAATGAACTGGAGGATTAGGGGGCAACACCCATCATGAGCGTCAGGAAGCAAATCGAATGCTCTTGTGGCTGTCAGTTTTGGTTTGCAAGGGATTGATATTTCTGGAGGTTCCGTCTTGTCCATGCCAGGTTGTACACTGTTTCGAGCATGGCTGTTGCAACTGTTGCATGTTGATGCCTGGGCAATTACACATTGTGGTGAGGCTATAGGAATGCATACTTTCTATGAAAGGTTTCAATTCGATTATGGTTGCCAATTCCTTTGCTTCGTCCAAGTTGATTCTGCGTTGTGTGATGTAATATGAGCGAACACTTTTCCTGGTGCGTAGTTAACCACAGTGACATGTGGATACTCGATTCAGCTCTACACTGGCTAACCTTGATCATGGGTGAGACTAAACCCCAGTGCCATCACAGTTTATAATAATGAATAAATGCAAAATGTCCTCGACACCTTTGATCAGCCAGATCAGTGATGATATGAGGATAGGGATCATGTGTAGTGAGATTGCCGTAAGATAGCCGGCTCGGCTTCCATGTCATTTCCATACTTACCCATATCGCCTTCCGGGTTTCGCCTCGGATTTGCATAGTGCTGGAGATCATCTTGGCCAGATTTGCGCTGTTGGGAATCAAGAGAAAATGTTTAATTCGAGGCTCCTTGGTGGCTGATTCGAATATAGACTTGATGCCATGACAGCAGTGCCAGCAAAATATTCACAGTTCCGACGAATGGGCCCATAAAAATGGAGGAAAGTCGCGGGCTGTGGAAAGACTAAATGTCAATGCTGCAGACAAGGCCGTTCTGATAACCATGAAGAATGATATATCCGCAAACTATCCCTTTGCCGAGCATGGCTACCGTAAGCATGGACCTGTGATACATTCTGCCTGTTTCTTTCGAAAGGCAAGTGGTATCTCTGCCCGTATAGCGTTGTGTCGTTTGGAGTGTCCTTGGCGTTGAAAACCTTTTCCTCTCCTCACAACTCCAGACAAAAGACCAATTCACGGAACGCCCCGTGAGATCACCCCCTTGACATGGCTTCATGGCCACATGTTCAAGATAGGAGACAATGTTGTTTTCTCATTGGGGCAAGCGCGGTATTGTGCACGTCAACGGTGGTGCTGTGGCGGGTCTGAATGCTTTCACGCAGGCATTTGATCTACGCTCGTCAAGTCGCAGGATATTCATGTGAGAACGTTCACTCCCAAATGCCACCCAACAGAAAATTCAAAAAGTCAACAAACAAGATGAGAAGCCACCCGGAGCCGGCCAGCAATCGACATTCTTCAGATCTCGCAGCACTCCAGGGCCTTGGTGATGAGTTCCAGTGCCCGAAGAATGCCAAGAAGTAGTGACAAGTCCGGTGCTGCACTGCCGACGTCGGATGGTTCTCGGTGAATGGCGCTGAGTGTCTTGATAAAAGTTGCATCATACAACCAATTCATGACTCGTGCGAATGATGTTCTCCTGGTGACCATATATCGATATTATGTATATGCATGCATATGGTGGGTGTTACAAGACGACACTCATTGGATTCAGTTGACGTAGGCCATGGTTAAAGGTAGCCAGCTTCTGTCGACGCTCATGAAGCATGGAAGGGGACATGCGACGGCACATGGCGCATAGCTTGTCTAGTATCAAGCATGTCATGCACAGTCTGATCAGTGCAGAGCCGTGGATATACGATGCACGTTGCGCCCCAATTCCGTGGCGCGATGAGGGATCGCCCCGGAGCCTTTGGGCTGCTGTTGAGTTGCGAGTATCGCGACGCCATTGCACTCAAGGTTACTCACGTGTCCGGTGGGATCAATTAGGCTAGGTAAAGTTGCACGGTAATGATCGACAGTAGTGTCTGCAATCCCTTTTGTATCCAGTTGAAATGTGTCTGTCATTTGGTGTTTGCTTCTTGATCAACCGAGTTTATTGCACTGACGCACTTAGTACCAACTGTATCACCTGCTCGGGTACTTTGATAGCTCTTCAGCACATCTCTTGTAGATTAGTGAACTTGGACCTTTCGCCATGCTTCCTCAGTCATCTTGAATTCATCCTCCCGTTCACATATTATTTCAGGAAAGATGGCTTCCAATGAAGCTGCAAAAGTTCATACTCTGCTCATCCCCTTCCAAACCCATTGTGTCATGCTTACGGTGTCTACAGTTGTTGTATTCTCTGCAATTTGTTCCTCATCCAGGTGGAATAGTTCTGCCATGTAGTGTTTGCTTCTCAAGCGGTTACAATCAAGCCGCAAAACTTCATATTCTGCTGATTCTCCTCCAAATCCATCGTGTCATGCCTGCGGGGTTGTTTGCAGGTTGTTCCTTGCCCAAGTGGAATGATTCTACCATCTATTGTTTGCTTCTCAAGCGGTTTTATTGATACATTGAGACTATTTATCAGCTGATAACAGGATCACGCACGACACGGTGCTCACTTGGTATAGGCCAAGCTACACTCTGCTCAGCTTCTCCAGATCGAAGACGAGCCCAGAACCGTCCAGTCAACATTGTACAGCGCAGCCAGTATCATCCAGCCCATATGGTCATGTCATATCTTCTCTGACATTGCTGGCTGGACATCTCGTAGCTTGTTCCGACTTAAGACAAATGACAATTGCTCTCGTGAACAATGTGAGCACTTGCTACTAAGTCTTGTGCTATGATTTGGTCGATCGCGTCGTCGCTGGCTCTAGAACTGTGGCGACTCTGGTTCTATATGCAACGTGGCAGCTTGCACGTACGAATACATGTGATGCAGCATCGCCAAATGACGCCAGGGCCGACAGAGCTTGAAATCCAACAGGAATGAACCAGCTACAGTCATTTCGCACGATAAAATTACATGATTTCACCATACCAAGTCTTTAGTACAAGAAATCTGGTGTGCATACGGTTCACCAGTACGCATGTACTCTTGAGTCGTGGGTGCACCCAAATTTACGTACTCTTCCTTTAGTACAAGATTTTGGTGGGGTCCACGACTCAAGAGTACGTACCATTGGTATGTACTGCTGAACCGTGACCCCCACCAAAATCGCGTACTCTTCCTTTAGTACATAATTTTGTATGGGGCCCCGCCTCAAGAGTACACATGTACTGGTGAACCGTATGACCATATAAAATCACGTACTCTTCCTTTAGTACAAGATTTTGTATGGGATTCCGACTCAAGAGTACGCTTATATTGAATGACGATCCGCCGCGCCTCTCAGTAACCTGGTGATGCTCTTTCGGGCTCCCAAGTCACAATGACCACGCCTGGCAAGTCTCCGGCTTCATGGAACTCGATCATGCTACCTTTCAATCCAAATGGTGAGCCCGACCTTGACGCTGGCAGCATTCCACGACTTGGACATTGTCCAAGCACCACAGCGGTGACCAGCCGCAGCCAGTGTGATACTTTCAAGGCATTCACTCCCAAGGAAGGTCTCTAGCCTTTAGATATGGGCAACGCGGATCTGGATTCACTTTCTCTGCTGTGTCTGTCTCTTTTCAAGCACAGCGACAAAGACAAGGCATCAAGGCTACATGCACAACGAGATTGTGGACATGCTGAGAGAAGTACATGCCGCATGCCACCTTTCATGCTGTGACCATGGCGCAATGTGCGAGCGGCCTCGGGTAGTCATCTTGACAGCCTCTCGTCTCAAGATTCTGCAGCTACAGGTGTTATAATTATTATCGATCGAATGGAATCAAATTTGTAACGAGGTGCGTGTTCTGTTCAACCTGTAGCAAATGGAGTCAGAGCCTAGAATGACGTTTGGGAAAAACAAAAGCGAATAGCTGATATAGGAATATGATTATATTCCATCTTGTGCCTCCCATTATTTATTGTTATTTCGGCAATCTCCTGGTTTATACTGGCCGTATTTGCTGCTTCCAACTTTAACGGCCGCGTTCCAAGTCTTTGAAAATTCCAGAGGATGATCTTTACGAGTCCCTACCGCAAGCATGACAGTATGAATCTGGAAGAGATTAATAAAAAGACCTTTGCTGCCTGGTTGGAAGCATCTTTCACTTGACCCCGTATGAATGGGAAGATGTGATCCAAGGAGCATGGAAAGATGTCCAAGTTAGTCTGAGTCGCAAGGTGGAGGTGCTGAAGCTATTCAATATACCTGACCAGGTGATCTGCGGTACTCACTGCGCCAGCAACAAAACTCATGGTTGGCAAACACCAAATGACAGAACATTTCGTCTCGATAAGAAACAGAGTCTAGAAGATACAGCACCGGCCCCTGCGATATTGATATGTCGCCAATGCCTTTGGCAGCAGCAGCAGCATTACGGCCGTCTTTGATCCAGCAGCAGCCGTCGTCGGCCCTATCGCGGATCCTGCGCATCGGACGAGATCTTGGCTTACGGCATTTTACCAGACAGCGCTTTTAAGCGATATTGCGAAGCAGGCCGCCTCTAAGTTCGCAAAGTAGCTTGTGGCCTGAGACGTTGTACAAGTCGATCGCATACTGGCTTCTGGGCAGTGCAAGCATGACACGATGGATTTGGAGGCGGTTGTACGACTTTGCTGCCCCGACAGTGGTCTTGTGTCACGGGTTCAGCCCTGGGGTGAAGAATACAATGGTGTCGTTGCCGGTGCTCCCACTCAGCCGCAGGTTTACTACATCTAGCCTACTACTGTTGAGAAGGTTACCGGTTACTGCTCCAAGACCTGCGCTCCTTAATCTCTGCCTGTTGACGGGCGATTTCTGCATTGTCGCTCTTAATCTTTCTTCACCGTGAGCAACGACTGCCAAACTCTCTTGGATTGGATCGTCTGACACTCGACAAGACTGTGAACGCCACCATGGAGACTTGCCCTTGGACAGCCGCACAGACGATGTGATTTCTCGCACTGATATGTGCAAGCACAATATACCAGTCTGGTGGCAACAGCAAGGATCCAGATGTCCCTAAAGTACCAGTCTCACTGATCTTTGCAAGCTCGACTGGAATCTGACCTCCATCATTGGCCAGTCGTACTACTGCGTTTGGAAGCCAACCCATTGGTATCGCTTGCGTCTTGGTATAGTGAGTGGCTATGATAGACTTGCTCGGCCAGGTCAAGTAGATTTGGGGGCTTATGGCAGATCTCAAAGTCAAGGATGAGCGTGTAATGCGCTGCTTGCTATGATTCCATTGCCCGGCAAGGTCTGCTAGGTCTGGAAATTGCTGGATGCCTAAGCTGGATGTTTTAGATGCTTGATGAGGCCCAGTGGGAAAACTTTTGCGGTATCTTTGAGACAGCCGTGGAAAGGGTTGGCATTATATGCAGTGCTTTCAAACGCCGGCATGCACCACGATGACTTGCTTCGGGATAGTTTGACGACAGGCTGTATGTAATATACTGGTTGTGATACCTTTGTATGCTGTATCTCAGGCAATAATGATCGACTATGGCGAGCAACAGAATCAAGTCACCGGCTTGAGCCTCGTATGCTCGAGATAGCCGACACTTGCTTGGAATGTCACGTCTTGGCAACGATTCGAGTATGTCACAGATAGCACGGCGTGTTTCTCGAATGCAGCTGGCCGTTTCCTGGATACTACAATACTGGGAAGCCAAGGATGCACAGGCTACCGAGACAAGGACGTCACAACCACGATGACAGTATGAATTCAGCTCCTGGCCCAGGCATGCAGACTGGACTTGGCGTCAATGGAACTTTCTGAACAGCCAGACATTGGTGACGATAGACAACCTGTCGCATACAGAGTATGAGACCACGAAGTGCTGCATATCAAGTCCAAGTGCAGACCAGAGTGATGGGATTGTATGCAAGCTATTAACGTGGGACTACAATGCTGCTTTCCCAACAGTCAGAGGCTGGTGACGAGATGCAACCTGCTTTATTCAACACTGGATGATTCAAACTGCTGCAGATGATGGGCTGGCTAGCGTGATGGGCTTGAGGACCTGCCAACGTAGAACTCCAATGGAGCTTCTGAGTACTCAAGGACTGAGACGAGATACAACCTGGTTTGTAAAGCATATAAAGACACGAAATGCTGCAGGCCAACCGGTGTAATGAACTGCCAACGTGGGATGATTGCTTCCATCTCCATTCATGTTAACCTACCTTTTGAATTGTATTTGTATACCCAGCAACTCTGACTGGTATTGTGAAGCTCCCATGAATTGAATCTGCAGGCCGACTAGCGTGATGAACTGTTAACGTATGATATCTACTGCTACTATCTCTATACGTGTCACGCACCACTCGTTTAATGAATAAATCTATATACCTAGCGACTCTGACTTATACTGCGAGGCTCCTATGAATTGAATCTGCATCCTGGAGTCTATAGAGCCCGTTAGCAAGAAGATCTCAGGCTCGGAGGGACATGGCAGGGAGGCTGTTGAGAATCTGCATTCTAGCATGGCAGGCGACAGTGGGTACAATTGTACAATTGCACTGTAATCATTGCAGTGGCTTGACTTGTCCTCATCCATGTCGTCGTCGCAGTGTCAGTGAATCTTGAACTCGGTGCATCGAGGTGGTGACATGACACGAGCGCAACACACCAAACACGGCGACAATGTTGAAGCTGCACCTTGATCTATGCATCTAGAGACTGGAAAGTATCGTAGACCATGTTATATCTGATATTCCATTGCCATGGCATGTTTTTTCTGGACAAATTTGCCATATATATTCTTTAGTACAAAATTTTGGTGGGCTATACGGTTCAAGAGTACGTGTGTACCGTATGTACTGGCTAAGCGCACCACCATACAAAATTTTGTACTAAAGGAAGAGTACAGAAAATTGGGTGCACCCACGACTCAAGAGTACACGTGTACTGGCTAAGCGTACCACCATACAAATCTTTGTACTGACGCAAGAGTACAAAAAATTATATGGTAATTACAACTCAAGAGTACATGCGTACTGGCGAATCGACACCATTGCAGTTTTCACGTACTCTTGCGCCAGTACACGAATTTGCTGGGACTTGTGGTCCGCTAGTATATACGTACTGACGAAGCGGCACCACCATACAAAATCACGTACTGAAGAATGTGTATGGTGTTTTCTTGACAATTTCATTCGGGCAAACACTGCTGATGCAAGATAATGAGTATGAGGCTTGTTGCAACCATTGCCAGCACGCTGGATGAGTGCAAAGCGTCATATGGCCACACCAAGGACGTAAAGCTTGCGCGAGATGCTTAAGTGACTGGCCAACACCATGACTGTCACGATGCGATGCTGTATCAAGCCGTATACACAAGGCACACCCAGAGACGAGGCGCAGACAGTCCATTGCCAGCACGCTGAATGACTGCATGGCCATATGAAGCTTGCGCAAGATGTTCAAGTGACTGGATGATACGAGGACTGCTTCGATGCGATGCTGTATCAAGCCATACACAGAGACAAGGCAGACACAGAGACAAGGCATACGCAGAACAAGGCGCACGCAGAGACAAGGCGCACGCTATATGACGGCATAGCCACACCAAGGACATGAAGCTTGCGAGATGCTAAAGTGACTCGCCGACAACATGACTGTTACGATGTGATGCTGTATCAAGCCACACATAAGGCGGACGCAGCAATCCATGATGCATCTTTGTATTTAACGAGAAAGACTTGACCCCGCCCAAGCACATCTCACCAACATTGCCAGCGCGTTCTCCAGGTTACCAGATTGGCATCCATTCTAACGCTGTATCTGCGAGTAGAGCGTAACTGTGCCAGAAACATGCATCGTGGATGGAGGTCCTTTTTGGCCTGCTGATAGCTATCGTTATTGCATCTTAGCGGGCCCTCTCGATGCCTATAGAAGTCGGATTCGCTGCCGCCTTCGAGCATACGGCCGCGCATATACCTGCGAGACCTGGCGGCGCGTCATGAAGGACACTCACTCCAATACTTTAGATAAACCTGGCGTGTCCAGTTGCTTGACCATACATCTTTGTATCTGTATTCAACACGAAAAACTTGACCTCGCCCAGGCGCATGTCACCACTATTGCCAGCGCATCCTATTACTACATTGGCATCCATTCTAATGCTCCATGCAAGGTCTCACAGCAACGGAATAGTCGTACCGTAATCCTTGGTATTCAAGGTCTCAATTCTGGCAGATTAAACTGCTGGATTGTGCTTGACAGTCCACCAATAACCTTTCGCTTCTTGAAGGGATCCTGAGAGGTCACGACGTTGGTACGATCCTTTGCTAAACATGGCCAGTCTTGAAAGAGCTTTGTGGAGGCCCGTGATAAGGGCATCGATTGCAATACTGCAAGATCTGACTTGTATGGTCGTGGCCATGCGCAGTTGCTTGACAATGGACAATATAACGAGCTCCATATTCTCCGAGGACCATGTGCAAGGTATTCCATAATGTCGGCAGCTGAGATGCAACCAGAATACACCATCTTATCGATCAAACTTTAGATAATGGTAGAATATGCCATTTGAAATGTCCTGCGCCAAATCTTTCGCGACATGGCAGTCCAGAGTATAATAATGCAAAGATCTACATGTTCATTCCGAGTGACTTGAGCAGCGCAAGCGAATGTCACCACTTTCGTCGAGATTCACATCCAATAAGCAACCAAGTGTGGTGTATGATATGGACAACCAAGAGTGTGGTGTATGATATGGACTGGACCACTACAACGTGAATCTGATATTATACAGTCGGAGGAGCATATGATGTAGGTTTGAGAGTCACGATATTAAAGTAAGCTGAGAGCGTTGAAAGGTATGAGTATGGTCACAAGATGTATCTGTCTACGTTCTATCCAAAGTGGGAGCGTACAGTCCCATGCCTGTTCGTCAAGAAGGTTTGTTAACTACCCTGGAGCATACGCACCTCGTCCGAATGCTCCCTGCTCTCGTCAGGGTCCTCCATATGCTCCCTGTATATGGGTTTAATGAGGAGCTTTACCAACTAACTGCCACATCTGAACAATGATTATACTGGACCTATCGCAAGATATTAGCTCGGCCGATGTGACACGAAGCTGTGTTGTTAATTCAATAGTAGTTGAGTTCAAACACACGGACGAAGCATAATCAGACGTATTATGGGTTTGCATGGCATGGACTTGATCGTCTCACATTTGTCCCCCACCACCAGCACGTTTGACCGCAGCTCATGCTTCATCACCCAATACCAAGCTTTTCAACAGCTGCCCAGCCAGCACCACCATTCCCAGGTCACCACCTTCACACAATCACACACCACATTCACATTCCGCAAGCATCCAAACACGACGCGTACATTAACAATTTCATCAACAACATCAGCGAACCACCACGAACCGACCGAGACGAAGCCAACATGGCAGATCAAGGCAATCAAGAGGCTGCACGAGAGCCCTCGTCCCCATCCGAGAATGGACGCGCCGAGCGCGAGGTCACCGAGGACCGCGAAGCCGGAAACAACGAGCAATCTGCCATTGACGGCGATGAGGACAATGGACAAGGAGGCTCACTGGGACAGGGCACAGGCGAGACGCTCGCACGCGATGCCTCTGGTCCCAGTGAGGTGACGGATCGTGCCTTGGAAATCGCACGCCGTGTCAGGGGACTCAATCCGGTCAACGTCGTCCTCTTTAGAGTTCCTCGAGAGGACTTTCTGGCTCGACAACAAGGTGCTGCCCAGCCCACGCAGCAAGGAGCTCAGGGAAGAGCTTAGCGAAGAGCTGAACGAAGAGCTCAGCGAAGAGCTCAGCAAGGAGCACAGCAAGAAGCACAGCAGACTGGAAATTCTGCGCAATCTACATCCGCACCCAATGTAGATTGGGTGCGGATTAATCTGGAAATGTTGGCATGGGCTGACTATGAGAGAGCGCAGCGGGCAGCACAGTAAGCAGCACAGTAGACTGGCAATGCTGCGCCATCTGCATCCGCACGCAATGTATATCAGGATGCGATTGATCGGGAGATGTTGGAATGGTCCATTCCATAAACGAGAACCTTGGGAGGAGGCTGTCGCCATGCTTATGGCACGCAGGTATTGCAGGCTCGCGTAACGAATTGTACTGCAATAAATACAAAAGAAATCAAGATTGAAATGCTTTTGCACCCAGCCCCATTCATGTTAATCTATTGCCTTGAGTATCTGCTTCATTGACTCTTACTGCGTGCAATAATTCTCCAGCAGTGCTTTCTTCTTCCGCGCCGCTCGTGTCAATCTCGGCTGCTGATTTATGGCAATCCTTTCGAGCTCCTTACCAGGAAGAATGTTGAAGCCATTGGCCAATCTGTCATGATGTTTAATGTCCGACAGCTGCGCCTTCTCCCTGATTCTGCTCGTCTTCAAAATCGTCCATAATAAATGGAGCCCAGCACCAGGTCTTTATCAGAGTTCTCTGCGTCGTCCGCGTTTCCATCCAAGTCTATTTCGTCGTCGTCCAAGGACTCGGAACCGGTATCATTCCCATGGAATGATTCCTCTTTGTGGTCTTGGATAGCTCGTGTCTTTTGTGCTTTGTGCCTTTGGCGGCACGCTCTTCTCGTTGGATCGGGGTTGTCTGAGTGGCTTCGCGTTGAGATCTCGTTTTCGGCATCTTGTATTATAGCTTCGTGAAAGTTGGAATGTGATGATTGCTGAAATGTGATATTGAAGAAAATCAGGGCGTACTGGAGTTGATATGTGACAGTGGAATTGTTTAGTTGTTTATATTCATCAATGAAATATTAGGTATTTGTTATTTTTTGAGCACATAGGTATGCATGACATGAATGACAATAAGTTGCAAAGCCATTTCAGCTCTTGTTCGTTCACAAATGACATTTCTATTCACAATGGGCTTCATATATTCAGGAATCAGGCATCGACAGTCTTTATTGATTCTTGAGCCATTCAATATGCTCGAGCAGCTAATCTGCGAAAATTACAACAGTCCAGCCATGAAGCCATGGCAATAATGCATACCAAGTGCAGTCGGGGGCATGTTATGCTCCTTGAGTCAGTCAAAAAATCCCAGAGCACCTAGTTAAATGCCAGAGATTCTCACTTTGGGAACCCAGCTGTTCCCAGAGGCGCTTGACCCAGTTCGCAGTGGTTCCCTTCAAGTAGGGAAGACATTCCAAGACAAGGCGTACGCAGGAATTCATGATGCATCTCTGTATTTGAGACGAGAAAGCCTTGACCTCGCCCAAGCGCATATCACCACCATCGCCAGCAGCACAGCTTCTTCTTGATGAAATCAAGATTTTTCAACCGCAGAAGCCATGAGTCGATACCAGTCTTACCAATTCGGGTGCGAACCACCTCTGGGAGAGCTCGTCTTGCTAGATGACGGAGCTGCCCGGACTCAAACCTGTTGACGCGAAAGTAATACAGCATGTTCGACCGTCCAATTTCACGAATCTTCCACTCATTGTTGGCATACGCAAATCTTGCCTTGTCAGGCAACTGGCATCCGGAAGATCCCCATCGTCGCATACGATCCATGTCGCTGTCACTGAATCGCAGTCGAACTGCAGCAATGGAGCCGATCCGGCTGGATTCGAGAAGAGCTATCCTCCGCAACAGCCTGGCCTTGAGAATGAACCATTGTTATGCCATCAACGGAAATGTCCTGCAGTTCCTTGAACGTTCGGATGGTGCCCACGTTGTGGGAAACGTAAATGTAGCTGTTTCCGCCCGCAACGTCGTCGCATATGCCAAATTCATTGCTGATTCTTTGGCCAAGGTCCATGTTGCCATCCCAGGTGAGACAACTGACATTGGCATTGGTTGTCTCGTGGAACTTGGTGAATATCCATGGTATATCCTCTCCTAGAGGTTTTCTCATGACGCAACGGTCTAAAGGAACGACGGAAATGCGAAAAGTGTCCCGCATAATGTTGGTCTCGGCCAAGTCTTTCAACGCCAAGCGTTGGTCAAGACCCTGACTGTTCTTGAGCCAGTGGCAGATGTCGTCGCGTATTGTTCTCTGCGCAAAGTAGCTGTCTCGATTCTCATCGAGGATGCTCCATGCCATTTCGAGAATTGGATTCTGTTGCCCGCCTTTTGCAGTCTTTGTCTTGGGAACCGCATTTCGTTTGCACTTTTCCACCAACACCATCAAGCATACCCATCCAGCACCACCACCACCGACATACCGCGCATGCGCATCGCAAAAATGAGTGCTAATCATCAAGATGGACCATCATTGTCTCTAAACAACGCCTGGAGAGCAAAGGTTGAAGAGATCGACGAGGCTCTCCTTAAACTCTCGACAAATACCGACCACGCAGCCTACATTCATGCTGCACACGGAGCCGGCAAGAGCACCAGTCTCTTGGTCCACGCCGCGGGCGTGATCAAGACGGCCAACCCACACGCGAGAATTATTTACATTCTCAACTCGACGATCGAGTGCAGCGTTTCGACTCAGTATATACGCGAGAACCCATCCGACGTATTGAATCCTTTCGAAGACGTGGAGCTCGATCCCACCTGCTATGCCCCTAAATTCTTAGCAGTCTTTACATACGGAAAATTCTTGGAAAAACTGATACAAGGCAATGCTTTGGACGACCGCCCTATTGTTTTTGTAGCGGATATACCACTGCGACGAACATCAGAGGCCGAGGCCTTTTTCTCCGTGCTTTTGGAGCAAATGAAACGACGGGCCTTTACCAGCTACCTGTTTTTAAGCGCCTATCGATCATAATTCACCGTAAACAGCTTTTCGCTTATATAAAAGCATTTAAACTTCGATATTTTATTTTTTTAATAATTAAATTCACTAAGCATTTTTAGCGTTAAAGTTAAGTTATTACCATTTTTATAAAAGTAAGAATTATTATATTTATTTTAATGTTTTTAATTTTTATATAATAAAACCGTTATATCTTATTATAATAACCTCTTATATAGGCATTACGCAATAATGCCGCACCGCCATTATAACGCTAACGCTATAGCTAAATATAGCTAGCATAATATAATTATATTAAATTTTTGCTTTTATAAAAATTAATTTTTATAATAATATATAATATATCAATTATTATTTAACGTTTTATTAATAAACCGTTATAATTTTAATTTTTTTTTATACGTTATTTAATAAAAAATATTTTTAATAACAAAATCGAGTATTACGCGCAAAAAAAGCGTAATAATTATACCGTAATCGGGCAAAAATCCCGCTCTTAATTAAAAAGCCTTAGGATTAAAACTTTTAATATTAAACCTAATAATTTCGGATTAAATCAATTAAATTTCGAAAATTATTGTTGCACGGATGTTAATACAGCATCG